ATAAAGAAGTGCTGAGGGGTGTTGGCAATGAATGTGAGACAGAGATCAGTGGATGAAACCATCAGAAGCTCATGTTCTGCAAAAAGAGAATACGTTTTTGTTTTCTGAAGCTATTCTGGACATTTTTAAAGTCTTCAGCATGAAGTTGTTGTTCATCGTACTGTGAGGTTACAGGCTAGACTGCTTAATAATGGCCTCCAAGTTTAACCTGACACTTTTATTCATATTTACTTCATATTTGTATTCTGTGTCTCCAAAGTCAGAATACAGTTACATTTTAGTGTCGCTGATTTGCAAAACAAAAGCTAAACTCGGTTCAGACGTGAGTTACAAGTTACAAAACAAAGATCTCAAACTAAAACCCACGTTCTCAGTCTGTCCCAATAAGTAAACACAGTGAAGCTCTGCTGTAAGTCTTTCTGACTGAATAAAGTCATACAAAGACAAACTTGCATTATGCAGCATTTTATTCAGATTGCAACTAATCCATGTTCAGATGTTTTTACGTCTGTTCTACTGTATTCTACTGGTTACACTTTTATTTTTCTTGATAAGAACTGATTTATGCTGAGGTAAATCCTTATACTATTCAATGTGGAACAACAATATAACTCACTGATTTTCCATGTTGTTGTTGTAAACAACAGGAGGAGATTCATTGTCTGCGTTTTTGCCATGAGCAGCTGAGTCTTTGTGTGAATGCATGTATGCATCTTTTCAAGGAGCGTCAACAGCAGAGGGCCTCCTTCTTTGTTTTTTGGACCTTATTGTCTCTATTTTCTCTCTCACAGTGTCTCCTCTGCCTCAGGCCAACAGCCAGGTGTTGAAAATACCTGCAGTTAACAGAGACATGCGACTCTTGAGACGGCATTTCAGATAGAAACACTGCTGAGCCTGAAGTGTTTCTGTCTACAATCACCAGATATCACAAGATACAGACACAGAAAGCTGTGTGTGCATCAATAAGAAGGCGTTACACAAAATAATAAATCTTCACCTTTATCATTTACAGCTTTCAGACTAAACTATAACTCTTTAAGTAACGGTGCACTCACTTCGTGGAACGCACTAAATTACTTTCACTTTGTTGTGGGTTAAACATAACCTAAGGTTTCTAACCAAGGTCCTAACACGATTTACAGTCCACAAGTAGAAGTCTGTGTAACTGTGTAAACAGTACACAATACAAGTAATGCAAGTAAACACTGACAGTAGGGCTGTACCACAGGTTATGTCTAGTTGTAGAATGCAGCTTCCATATTTAACAAAGCCCCAATATTTCTTCTTATACTCCTTATAATATGTCTTCAGAGTAAAAGATCTCTCAGCAGAATTATGCAACATTTTAGGCACACTATTGCCCCTATCAACTCAGTGAGCTGGGATTGTTTATTCTAAACATGAACTACTGTTAAAGCAACACACATGGACTACTGGAGCCCCACACGACAACATCTATACTGTCCAGTCTCTCCTGGTGGACATGGCATCACGTTATTCATGGTTACAAACAATTTTAGACTGATGTGGGCCAAGCCCAGCACCTACTTGCCAACATTGAGACCTCAGGTGGAAGCTGCGCCCACCTGAGGACCCGCCCTTCGCGGTCTGAGTGGGCGGGTCATACGAAAGCCGGTTTGGCCGGAAGTGAGCGACTGTGACGATCCAGCCTTCAGAATTCCGTCACGAGCTCTCTCGGTGGAGTGACACTGCCGTCTGCTCCTTTTTATCTAAAATATAACCGGACACTGGCGTAAATTCTCGACCGTCTCGTTCTTCGAGAATTTACGCCAGTGTCCGGTTATATTTATGTTTAATCAGTTTTCTGTTTGACGTTTATTCAGCTGTGTGAAAACCCCGGAGGAACCTCCCGAGGGATTAATAAAGTTTTATTTAATCTAATAACTTTAATCTCAGCCAAACCGATTTACTCACGAACAAATAAAACACTGAAAAAGGCCAAACAATAACATGTTTAAGTTATTTAAGTAACTTTAGCGAAAGACCGCGAGGGTTTGCTGCTCTCGCCGGAGCTCAGATATTTGAAGTTTACACAGCTACATTCTCGCCTGAAAAGACGCTAAAAGTTTATTTTGCGACCCAGAAAGAGAAATAAGAGTAATATTAAAACTAAGTAGCTGTAGTAATAGTAGCCATTGTTGGAAACTGGAATTGGCTGGGCCAATCTGGGATATGGTTTTTCAATTTTGTTGTCCAGGTGGGAAATCGGGAGATATGGGGAGAATGGTGGCTCCTGGAGAGGCACTGAAATTCGGGATTCCCACAGAAAAATCGGGAGTGTTGGCATGTATGGCCTAGCATAGCCTGTAACGTTATTATGACGGACACATTTTATGAGTGAACTTGACTTTAGGTGACTTACAGGTTTCTTTGAAAAACACTTTCTTATATCCAGGTTCTTCCTTTTTGCTGCCGTCCTCCTCGCAGCGCAGGCTTGCCGCTGCTAAAACTAAACAGAGCTCCCTGAAAGGCACAGCCAATCACATTTGCCATATTTGTCACATGACGTAGGACTCCAGTAGAGGACGTAATTTAACTCTTTCTGCACCGCTGGGTGAATGAGACGCTGACAGATGGGGTTTTTTTCTTTCTATCGGGTTAGTTTTTCTTTACTCGAAGACATCAAATTATTGGTGGGGACATGTCCCTTCCGTCCATGCCAAATCTACGCCTTTGTTCAGCAGGAAATACTTCAACCAACAGATTTTCCTCATCATCATTTCCCCATAACCCTTTAATGACTCTTGAGTACTTTTGAGATTTAATTTACAACAAAATTACACAATAAAAAACAATAAAACTGTCAATCGTGCATAGAAATTACTTTCCTGCACCGGATTGTATTTTCACATGAACCTCTATGAGGTCAGATGTAGAAGGGTTTAGGGCTACAGTGCAAATGTAAGATTGTTTGTTTCTGGGCGGGATTAAAGACAGAGAACAGAATCAGCATTGAAAATAGCTGCAAAATGTCATATTGGTGGGTTTTGTGTGGGTGTTTTGTTTTACTTAACTTTGCTAATTAATAATCTAATTATTGGACTTGGACATGAGGTCAAGGACACTCTAAACCCAGGCACAATGTACATTTCAAATTCCTTTCATTTTAAATATGTTTATATTGTCTATCCTGTAAAATAGTCAGATGTCTTATTAATGTACAGAATTCACCTGCTTGCTGCTACTGCTGCACATTTACCCAATGTATATACTATATATATATATATAATGTTCTTCCTCCAACCCCCCCACACCCCCTCCCATTGTTGCACATGTCGAGGAGCGTGTCAGGTTACATTTCACTGTGTGTTATACTTGTATAACTATGCATGTGACAAATAAAGAACCTTGAACCTTGAAGTTCTTTCTCTACTGGTGACCTGCTTTATTGTAGAGCTGTTTGCAGTAAAAGGTGAGCGGCAGCTAGTTATTTTGTTAATCCCTTGGATAACAGAGACAAAAAGGATACAGCAAATGGATGATAGTGGAAGATGGATGCAGATTGTTTTTTCTCTGTGAGGACACATTTGAGAATCCCAGAGTTACTAAAACTGATTTAGAGCCACTTCAGTTTTCACAACAGTCAAAAACGTTTTCATCATTTCTCTGCAAAAGCTGCATTTAACCAAATCAAAAAAAAAACAACCCACAATTTCATTGTGTGTAAAGAAAAACAAAACATGAGAATGTAGAACAATGAGAGCGACGTGTTTAAGATGCAAGATCCAGCTCTTTCACTACTTTTAAGGAGAGGTTTACACTTTTTACTGAATTTATATTGATTTCTGCGTGTGTTGTTGCTGACTGTGTCTATATGTGTCATTTTTTCTAACTGTGAGATACTTGCTGCAGGTCTCCCTTGAAAAATGTTTTTAATCTCAGTGGGATCTTCCTGGTTAAATATAGATTTAATAAATAATAAAGAGACAGATGATTGAAGCCTGTAAGTATTTCTGTGCGTTTCTTTAAGGCATACAGAGCTTTTGGATCGTAGCAGAAAAAGTGGAATCAAAACATGTAAACAGTTTGTTCACAGTGGCTCACAGCACAGACACGTGGACATGAAGTCGTGTCATCGAGTCAGCTTTCTTTTCTGACTCGATGCAATAAAACATTTAAATACTTGTATTCATGAATCTCGTGATAATTTGGGGGTTTTCATGATTTCTTTGAACTTTTGCTTTTCCAGGGTGTAATTATTGCACTTCATACGTCTTCAATAAAGTATTTTCTACAGCAAACTGAATTGCTTGGAAATGGCAGTGTAGCCTTTCCACTTATTATGAGCCTCTACGATCTTCTTTCTGATTTCCTTTGTCTTTGGCGAGTAACAGTCGTCCCTGTCATGTGTTCGAGTGCCCTGTTCCTTGGAGTCTTTTTTATGCTGATTGGATGTTGTTAGGAAGCCAACTGACTTAAATTGAGGTGTGTTTTTAAAGGTGATTCATTACTGTAGGTGTGTTTTGAAAGCAAACATTCACATGGGGCTTTTTACTACATTTGGTACAAAGCAAGCCTACAAATGTATTTTATATTACAAAATGTACCAGAAGCTACTAAATAGCACCAGTGACTCTGATTATATCAAGTTTCATCAATACTGCATAAAATTGGGAAGAAGTTTAGGAAATTGTTCCATGTTTCCTGGGGGCTAATAATTTTGGCCTCAACAGGATATTATGTGTCTGACAACTCTTTTAAAAAATAACAGTGTAAATTGTCATGTATTAGTGGGAAATGTGTTTTTGCATGAATGATTTTCTTTTCTTCTCTGCATGAAACAGTAACGGTCGCCTTGAGGCAAATCAAAACTGGTTTAACGAGAGCCAAATGGAGCAGAAACAAAATTCACCCGAAAACAAAAAAGCAGATTTGCTTCCCTGCTGTGAGGCTGCCATATATGGAGAGTCTTCTTGCTGCAGTTTCAGCCATTACCAAGCTGCTTCTCAGATTACACTTAGTCCCGCCCCCTCAGCACACAGCTTAAGCCACTGGTGAGGCAGCTTTTCAGCATGAAGGCGTTGCTTTCAGGCTTAACTGCCTGGTTTCCTAGGGAACCGTGCAGCAGACAGGCTGGGCGGAAAAGCGTTTCCGGGTCGGTCAAACTTGGAGAGAGGAGCAGAGAGACAAAGAGGAGGTGATAGTGAGGTGGGGGAGGGAGAAGGCTCCGTGGAGAGGCAGTGGGGGGAGGCTGAGGTGCTGGCTCTACTCTCAGTGTGGGACCAGGGTGGACATCAGCACGTGGTAGAGAACAGAAGCACATTTGAGGGGATTTCAGAGCGTCTGAGGAGGCTCAGTGTTGTGCGCAGCTGGAAGGAGTCTCAGCTAATTCAGAAGCATGAGACTTCAGAGCAAGAGGCCTGATGCAGGCACGTCAGTGAACTACAGCCCAGGAGTGGAAGAAAGGCCACGGGAGGAAGGTGTGGATAATCAAAGAAGAATCTACCCAGTCCAGCAAGGTAACTGTGTTCAACACCAACTGTACTAACGACGATAACAACATGACTTTGTTCACTTGGGGGAAAAACAAAAACTAGCATCAAAGGATAAAGCTTGCTTGTGCTACAAACTCAGACAATTACATTAACCTCCTAAGACCTGAACTCTTCCATGGCATGCATTTTTAATTTCTCTTTGATGTTTGGGCTGATTGGGACCTGTTGAATGTAAAAACAAAGAATTATCAGAATTATTTTTCACCTGATTTTTGTTTCTAAGAAAAACGAGATCCACATATGAGGAGAAGAGTAGCAGTTTAATGTCCTCGGAGGTGGATATCAGGCCCTTGTAGAGCAAAATTGAGTTTTGGTCTAAATGTGATGTCTCTATATGTGGATCCTAGGAGGTTAAAGTTTCTTTTATTTAAAAAAAAACAATCACCCTTTAGCCAAAAATGACAATGTCTTCATGTTTGCACAGGAATAAAGATTCAATTTCATTCAGCTGTTTCTGACTCTACGAATGTGGCTGAAGAGGGAATCCGCAACTGGACAGATGATGAAGTAAAAGCGCTGCTGTGCGTCTGGGCCGACCGCAACATTCAGGAACGTTTGAAAAGCACGCTGCGCAACAAATCCATATTCCAAGAGATGGCTCGGCAGATGCAAAGAAAATATGGGGTGATACGCGACTGGAGACAATGCCGTACAAAATACAAGAATTTGAAATATGACTATAAGATTGCTAAAAGTGCACACGCTGCAGGAGGCAGCAGTGCAGGAAGCCTGGGGAAGTACATGAAGTTTTTTGATGAAGTGGAAGCTATTTTACTGGACAAAGGACTGGAAAATGGGAGCATGGAGATGCAGAAGAGACTGTATGATGGTGAACTGAAAGCAGGGAGGCTACAAACGCCAGCAGGCCACACAGGGCAGATAACAGGCTCTGAGAGTGAGGTGGTCATCGACATGGATGATGGTAAGCATCACGTTTGCAAGCAGTTGTTTTAGATTCAAGACTCCATGAAAAGAATTTTCTTATTTTCCTTATTTAAGATGACAACAGTGATGATTGCAACATGGACGGAGAAACGGAAATAAAGAGAGAGAGAAGTACAGGTATGCCAACAAAGAAAAGAAAATCTGCCACCTGTGGAGTTTAGCTGCATATGTAAGCTTTTCCTTCCATATCTGTTCTTTTATTCCAGATGCCCATCGAGCACACACAGACTTCTGCTCTGACCAAGTGGTCATGGTGTCGGACGCTGGTCGCAACTGGAGCGACCAAGAGGTGCGAGCCCTGATCCAAGTCTGGGCCGATGAGCGCATATGCAGGAAGCTGGAGAGCTCAACCAGAAAGAGGGACATCTTTGTCCAGATCTCGAGGAGGTTACTGCAGCAAGGCATCGATCGTGACTGGAAACAGTGCCACACTAAGTACAGGAACCTCAAGTATCTCTACAGGTCCCTTCAAAGGGGCAAGACTGATGAAGCTGACCCGAGATGCCTCATGAGGTTCTACGAAGAAGTGGACTCCATTATGAATCGCGCGACTAACGACTACACAGAAGAAGATTCAGACAGACTTACAATATCTGACAACTGTGATGAGAAAAATAACGTGGACGGCAATTTGGCAAACACGAGGAGAGCTGTGGAGGACAAAACCTGCACCTCTGATTCTGACTTAACCATCGAGGCATCAAACACTTATGAGTCAGAGCGGCATAAAATCAAGGAGCATCGTTTGGATCAAGAACACACGTTGATGAGTGAGCTGATCATTTAATCATCATTATCATCAGTATGAATTAGATGAAAAGGTTACACAATGCATTCAGTGGTCAGTTACCATGAGTAAGATAATCAAGCAGGAACAGCACGGACAGCCAAAAACAAAGGTTTTGGCTGTTTTTGTCCTTAAAATATTTCTCAAAATCTTATATCAACACAACATATTAGTTAGTATTTCAACTAAAACCATAAAATCTGCAGAGAAATTGTGATTCAGTAAACTGACCCTTTAACACTGAATAGACTTGAAGGTAGAGGGAAATAAATATTATTTTCAAACTACAAACTTTCCGGTTAGTAAACAACTTGGTCCAACTTGAGCTGCAGCCACCCAGGAAGTGGTTTTGAGATGTGTTTTATTTAAAATGAGTCTCGTGGTGGTCGTAAGCCAGTTTTACTTTGTTTAATACCAAGACAAATCTTTTCTTTTGCAGCAAAGAAGCATGTCTATATCTGTGTTTTAACTGCCTTAAATATATTTTTGCAGGTGCTTCTGAGAGTGAGGTCGATAAAGAGAATACTACTGCATCAAACAGAAGACTGAAGAGGAAAGCTGTGGATGAAGGTCTGAAATGTGTCTCCTTCTGAAATAATTAAATATGGATAAGAACACGGCTGTGAGCTAAAACAATGCACAACTCATGAAACCCTGTTAGGAGCTGACATGTTACACTAGTCGTACGTTAACCTTTGTCCTTCTTATTTCCAGACCCTGGACTGCACACATCACTGAAAAAGCTGAACCCTCTCGGCCCTGTTGCTGCTGACAGACTGCACACCCAGTGTAAAGAAGAGCAGGACCACATCCCCATATTAAAGATCAACTCAGTCTGTTCAGTGGCCCCCCTGCTCCATCGCCACAGGTAACGTACACTGATCTCACGTGACCATTACAAAACTGACGTATTCTCCGACATAATGAACACTGGTGTGGGTTCTTTTAAAACTACCCCAACTACTTGATTAATCGAGTGACAGATTATTATATGATCATTATTTTTCAAATGAAAATGTCCCACATTAAAATTACATTTGTCAACTTTAACATGTTTAGGTTTCAGATTGTTTCAGATTGCAAAAACAAAGATGAATTGATTCATGCAAATATTGTAAAGCCTGAAGCTGCAGCTCCTATGATGTATGTTGGGCTGACGTTTGTTAATCAAACCTGAGGAAAAGTTATGTCTTCAGTGTTATTCACTCATCCATGTTAGAAAGTTCCAGAGTTGGTTTTGTTCACCTGGTCACAGGATTTTAAATGGGAGAAATATTTCACTGCTTATCCAGGTGACTCCTTCAGTATCAGCTGATCACAACCTTAACAGTGCAGTACTTAAGCAGAACAGCTGCATAACAACTGAAACCAGCACCACTGACTAACAATGAGCCACCGATTCAGTTTCAGGATCGTCAGTATGCAAACTGGTACCACGAGTACCAATCGCATCACTGTGAGATGATGAGCAATCGTTCAGAGGTGTCATCGCCTTTTCACGTAACGGCTCCCCACTCAAACCATGATGTGCACACCGTCACTGTGAGAGTTGCCACTGGCCTGTAGGTGTAAACAGACCACCGCGTCTCAGCCTGATGAGCTAGCTCTTCTGCGCTGTGCAATCTGCTAACCTGTGGTTGTCTGGTTGACTTTCTGAATTCAATGTAATTGGAAAATAAAGAAAAATACATTAAACTGCAAGCTAGTTGAAGGAAACCAGGGTTTTGGTTCATGAAGACATTTCACCTCTCATGCACGATGGATCGTTGACCTGCCCGGTTTCTATGCAGGTTGTTAAGGGTCCCATCAGTTGAGCTGACGTGTGACTCAATGCATGGGTTATGTGGGTCACATGACCTGTGGTGTGATTCCTATGTGGGACAGCTTCATGAACCAAAAACAAAGTCTAGCTGCCGTCAATTTAATAACTTCAAACTAGCCTGGTCTCAACACCTGTATCTTATGTTTCATCAAAAATAAGAATGTGGCAATCATGTGACATCCTTACAGACAAGCTGCATGATAACATGTCGCTAACAACAGTGACACTTGAAAAGGCGATTTGTGTTTCCACTATTTTCTTCTTTAAAAAAGAAACAAGTGCTGCCTGCTAGGAAATCAAATCCGGCTTTTATGAGCGTAGACTAAAATGAAGCAATTCTTCTGTAAGTTCACTGGCGTGTTGTGTGATTTGTCTTTCAGGCCTGCTCAGGATCCACGAGCGCCATGGCCCCCGCCCCAGGTACTGCACGAGCCTTAATCCGCACTTTAGCGCTTCAGTTAGATGTGCATGGTTTAATTCTTTCCTTGTTTTCAGAGTTGAAAATCGGCCAGAAGCTCAATGAGGGCAAGACTAAACAGATTTTCGAGCTCGTGGACCAGCCGGGACTGGTTCTAGTCCAGTCTAAAGACCAGATCACTGCTGGGAACGCCGTGAGCAAAGATCAGATGGAGGGCAAAGCTGCCGTTGCCAACAAAACCACGAGCTGCGTGTTCCAGCTGCTGCAGGAGTCTGGTGAGGTTTTTATTTCTGCACAAGGTTTTGGGAACAACAGATTTCATCAAAGGTTGATTCAGTGACAGGAAACAAACAGCCTAAAATAATAATACTTCATGTATACAAATTCAATAAAATATCGTTTTTAATCTCAGATGTTGTCATTTGTCCGTGAGTTTGAGGTTGCTCGGATATCCACCCTTCTCTCCTCAGGCATTAAGACGGCCTTTGTTAAGCAGCACTCGGACACGGCGTTCATCGCTGCGCGCTGCGAGATGATACCCGTTGAGTGGGTGTGTCGCAGGGTGGCGACTGGATCTTTCCTCAAGAGGAATCCAGGAGTCAAAGAGGGCTACCGCTTTTCTCCTCTAAAGATGGAGATGTTCTTTAAAGTGAGTCTTGCTGCGTGCGGCGATTCTCTCCGTGTGTTTTCAGTCTGAGTGTTGTCGCAAACTCATCACTGATTGTGTTTTTAGGATGATGCCAACAATGATCCTCAGTGGTCAGAGGAGCAGCTGCTGGAGGCCAAACTGTGTCTGGCTGGGCTCACTATTGGTCAGTGTGAGGTGGACATAATGAGCCGCAGTACTGTGGCCATTTTTGAGATGGTGGAGAAGGCCTGGGCCACTCAGAACTGCTCCCTGGTGGACATGAAGGTAGGCTGTGCAGCAGCGCCCCCTGCTGGTTGAAGTCACATCTTGGTGCGATCACTTCTCTCCTGTAGCTGCAGCAGAACTACAAGTAAGGACTTTTTCTTTGCTTATAGATTGAATTTGGCGTCAGTGTGAAAAGTCGAGAGATTGTGCTCGCTGACGTGATTGACAACGATTCGTGGAGGCTTTGGCCAGCTGGAGATCGGAGCCAGCAAACAGACAAACAGGTGATGGACTGACTTTGATTTATTTTCATGCTGATATGAAAAAGAAACAAGCCTCAAACTTTTCTTTTCCCCTTTGTAGGTGTACAGAGAGCTGAAGGAAGTGACCCCAGAGGCAATGCAGATGGTGAAGAGGAGTTTTGAGTGGGTCTCTGAAAGGGTCAAGGTACAGCAAACAGATGCCTCTAATCTATTCTTGATCTTGTAGGAGTGTTTAGCTCTTTCTTTGCTTTGAACATCCAAACCAACAAACACTGTTTAACATCACAGAAGCCTGCAGCTGCTTTTGATGTAATTCAGGAAAAAACCAGCACAGCTGTACGATTTTTCTTTTGAGCAGGTAAAACTGACATAAAGTGATGATTCAATGGTTTCTGTGTGTCTACAGTTGCTGCTGGAGCCCCAGGCAAGCAGCAGGGTGGTGCTTTTAATGGGCTCCATCTCAGACGTGGCCCATTGTGAAAAGATAAGAAAGGCGTGCGCCTCCTACAGGATCCCCTGTGTCCTCAGAGTCACCTCGGCACACAAGGGTCCAGATGAGACGCTCCGCATTAAAGCTGAATATGAAGGTGAGCTTTAATGTTGACGTAACTGCGTCTTTGTGCTGATGTGGGACTCTTTCTAATCGGATCGTTTCTTTATGCTGTGCTGCAGGTGATGGCATACCCACTGTGTTCGTGGCTGTGGCTGGGAGGAGTAACGGCCTCGGCCCAGTGATGTCTGGTAACACGGCTTACCCTGTGATCAGCTGTCCTCCTCTCACTCCAGACTGGGGACCACAAGATGTCTGGTCATCCCTCCGCATGCCAAGTGGTGAGCAGAGCTCTTTACTGTAGCGTGCAGCGTTAATCGTTCGTGCTGTTTTTGGATTTATTTATTTTTGTCCTGCAGGTCTTGGCTGCTCCACCGTGTTGTCTCCTGAAGCTTGTGCTCAGTTTGCAGCGCAGATCTTGGGGTTGAGGGACCACCTGGTGTGGTGCAAACTGAGGGCATCCATGCTCAACACCTGGGTGTCTCTCAAGCTGGCTGACAAGAAGTTACAGGCCTGCAGCCTCTGAAGAGCCCAGCGTGCATCACACTCAACAAAAGAGCTTTGGTCCATTTAGCACCCTTGAAGCGAACTGCAGGACTGAAAACGACACAATTCATTTATTGAGACCAAGTTTATAACATGGAACAGTTTCTAACAGATTTGTTATAGTTACTCATTTTAATGGAATTTTATAGAACTTTTTAATTTGTTTATTTATTTTTGCATGCATGTTGTTGCTGCCTGTGTTTCATTGTATCATTTTTGTAACTAGCTGCTGCCTATCGTCAGGTCTCCCTAAAAAAAGGTTTTTGTTTCAGTGGGATCTACCTGGCTGAAAAAAAGTTCAATTACAAACATTGTTTACTATGAAAACCCATTAACTGTAGATGTTTGTCACACATATGATTGAAGCATGTATGTATTTGTATGCTTCTTAAGACACAGCTTTTGGATCACAGCAGAAAAAGTGGAATCGAAACATGTAAACAGTTTGTTCACGGTGGCTCAGCACAGACACGTGGACAGGAAGTTGTGTCATGGAGCTTTCTTTTCTGACTCGATGCAATAAAACATTTAAATACTCGTATTCATGAATCCCGTGATAATTTGGGGGTTTCCGTGATTTCTTGAATCTCACTCAGTGCACGTACTCATGAATACAGTCAAAACATCCTGTAAATATTAGTCTCAGACTGGAAGAGAGGTTGCTGAGAGATGTGAGGGAAAGAGAGATGGGAACATAGATTTCTTAAATTATGAATAAAATCAGTTTAATATCGCTCACGTTTATACACTGTTCTTTTTTTTTTTTTTTTTTTTTTTTTTAATCTTTTGATGCTCCCCTGATCTGCCTGGAAACGGTCACACTGAGTACAAGAACCTGAAGTTTCTCTACAGGTCCCCTCAAAAGGGCAGGACTGACGAAGCTGACCTGACTCATGAAGTGGACTCCATGATGAATCACATGACTAACGACTCTGCCAGACACCGTTACAATATCAGTGATGATGTGTCTTTAAAATCAAATCAGTCTTTTATGTCTGATAAATATTATATGTGTTTAACACTGTGTATCTAAACTAATTCAGCACCACAGGGCTAATTACAGAAACGTTACTACTTCAAACAAACTCCCTGATTGTCCCCCACTGTGCTCCATCTGGGTGTTTGTGCGCGAGTCATGCTGTGTTTGCCACATACACAGCATCTTTATCTTTAAGTGATTATATGACAGACCGGGTGGCCGAGAGGCTTTGTGTGGTGAGGAGGCAATAGCTCTGTGAAAAATTGTTTGTTGCTTAATTTGTTTATGCTGCTCTAAGAATAAAGGAACGCGTCTTTGACGAAGTCGTTCTAACTACTATGATTGATGCTTTGACAAAAGCTAATTTACTTTTTTGCTTTACTTGGGAATGAAAATTCATTTTTTGAGCTACAAAGTCCCAGAAATGTTATTACACCAAATAAATAATGCATCTTAAACTATAGTGGGCAGAAAGGCTGGATTAAAAGCTGCTTGGCAAGATGGCTGCGTCTACATCGGCTCACTTCTCACCCTGTTTGTCATGTGCTTCATGGTGTTGTGATGTGAAGCTGTGCTCTCTGCGTGCAGACGAGTCTTTTGTTTTCTGTTCTCATGCTGACCTCCCACAAGCAGCCCAGTATGAGCAGGGGGCTCTTTCCCCTCCTCCAGTTGCCCATTGAGCTGTGCATATCTTCCAGTTACTACCCGTCTCCCATGTGGTGTCTGTGCTGTGTATGTGTGGTCGGGGTTTGCAAACTTGCATGTGACAAATGAAGGTTTCATTAAAAGTTTTAGGTCTAATCTTAAAGGTAGAGACAGTGTCTGTCTCCTGAATCCCAGCTGGTTCCACAGAAGACGGAACTGGAAGTACTGTGTTGTGACAACAAAGCACTATGAGATCTTTTAGAAGGTATTTATCCATCTGACCTGCAGCCGTACTTGCTTTATTTAAGGAACACTGATTATTTACATTTTTACAAAAATGACACCATTAAAACACAGGCAGCAACAACATGCATGCAAAAATAAATAAACAAATTAAAAAGTTCTATAAAATTCCATTAAAATGAGAAACTATAACAAATCTGTTAGAAACTGTTCCATGTTATAAACTTGGTCTCAATAAATGAATTGTGTCGTTTTCAGTCCTGCAGTTCGCTTCAAGGGTGCTAAATGGACCAAAGCTCTTTTGTTGAGTGTGATGCACGCTGGGCTCTTCAGAGGCTGCAGGCCTGTAACTTCTTGTCAGCCAGCTTGAGAGACACCCAGGTGTTGAGCATGGATGCCCTCAGTTTGCACCACACCAGGTGGTCCCTCAACCCCAAGATCTGCGCTGCAAACTGAGCACAAGCTTCAGGAGACAACACGGTGGAGCAGCCAAGACCTGCAGGACAAAAATAAATAAATCCAAAAACAGCACGAACGATTAACGCTGCACGCTACAGTAAAGAGCTCTGCTCACCACTTGGCATGCGGAGGGATGACCAGACATCTTGTGGTCCCCAGTCTGGAGTGAGAGGAGGGCAGCTGATCACAGGGTAAGCCGTGTTACCAGACATCACTGGGCCGAGGCCGTTACTCCTCCCAGCCACAGCCACGAACACAGTGGGTATGCCATCACCTGCAACACAGCATAAAGAAACGATCCGATTAGAAAGAATCCCACATCAGCACAAAGACGCAGTTACGTCAACATTAAAGCTCACCTTCATATTCAGCTTTAATGCGGAGCGTCTCATCTGGACCCTTGTGTGCCGAGGTGACTCTGAGGACACAGGGGATCCCGTAGGAGGCGCACGCCTTTCTTATCTTTTCACAATGGGCCACGTCTGAGATGGAGCCCATTAAAAGCACCACCCTGCTGCTTGCCTGGGGCTCCAGCAGCAACTGTAGACACACAGAAACCATTGAATCATCACTTTATGTCAGTTTTACCTGCTCAAAAGAAAAATCGTGCAGCTGTGCTGGTTTTTTCCTGAATTACATCAAAAGCAGCTGCAGGCTTCTGTGATGTTAAACAGTGTTTGTTGGTTTGGATGTTCAAAGCAAAGAAAGAGCTAAACACTCCTACAAGATCAAGAATAGATTAGAGGCATCTGTTTGCTGTACCTTGACCCTTTCAGAGACCCACTCAAAACTCCTCTTCACCATCTGCATTGCCTCTGGGGTCACTTCCTTCAGCTCTCTGTACACCTACAAAGGGGAAAAGAAAAGTTTGAGGCTTGTTTCTTTTTCATATCAGCATGAAAATAAATCAAAGTCAGTCCATCACCTGTTTGTCTGTTTGCTGGCTCCGATCTCCAGCTGGCCAAAGCCTCCACGAATCGTTGTCAATCACGTCAGCGAGCACAATCTCTCGACTTTTCACACTGACGCCAAATTCAATCTATAAGCAAAGAAAAAGTCCTTAGTTGTAGTTCTGCTGCAGCTACAGGAGAGAAGTGATCGCACCAAGATGTGACTTCAACCAGCAGGGGGCGCTGCTGCACAGCCTACCTTCATGTCCACCAGGGAGCAGTTCTGAGTGGCCCAGGCCTTCTCCACCATCTCAAAAATGGCCAGAGTGCTGCGGCTCATTATGTCCACCTCACACTGACCAATAGTGAGCCCAGCCAGACACAGTTTGGCCTCCAGCAGCTGCTCCTCTGACCACTGAGGATCATTGTTGGCATCATCCTAAAAACACAATCAGTGATGAGTTTGCGGCAACATTCAGACTGAAAACACACGGAGAGAATCGCCGCACGCAGCAAGACTCACTTTAAAGAACATCTCCATCTTTAGAGGAGAAAAGCGGTAGCCCTCTTTGACTCCTGGATTCCTCTTGAGGAAAGATCCAGTCGCCACCCTGCGACACACCCACTCAACGGGTATCATCTCGCAGAAGGTGTGCAGGCAGCCGAGGAGGGGAAATGGGCGTGTCTTACCTGTGCCGGGAGCCAATCGCGGTCCTCAGCTCATCTAACCAGCCAATCACAGCCGGGCATTGATTTCCACGTGAGGAGAAGACGCTCAAACATCAAGAGAAGACGTTTAATTAGGTACAAATAAAAAATAAAAACCTTTGGAGCTTCTTTCGCAAAAGTTAATCGTTTTACTCTTTGATAAGAAGTGATGGCCAAATGAAGCTTTCTGAAGCTTGTGCTGAAAAACGGTTCATTACTTCAAGCTCTTCAACACAGTCCTGTCTGGTGACACCTGGTGGCCAAAAATATGAAGAGCAGCTTGAGTCTACAAATTAACGTGTACTGCTTCATCATGACTACCCACTCTACAGAGTGATTCACTTCCCTATAATCCACTGACTCAGATACTGAAGCAGTTACGTTCTAAAGGAAGCTTCAGTCGTCACTGATCATGTGATGTTTTTTGACACACACGTCGGAGCGTCAGCTTCAAGCTGGCCATCACTAATAAGAAGCTTGTCTTATCAAAAGCTCCAACAGGTCAAAACAGTGTGTTTTTGATCGAATCGATTAGTTTGAGAAACTGAGCTGTTTGCACGTTATCTGTGGAGGAATGTTATAAACAACATCATCTCATGACAGCAGTGGGTAAAGGCTTTGTTTATTTTGTGGAAAAGTCCTTTCATTCATCCTCATCATTGTGTATGTGGTGTGTTGCAGTGATGGACTGTAACAACATGACAGCTCAACCAAAGCAGGGCAGCAATGAAACCCACACAAATGGACGATTGAAACTATCAGCAACACCGACTCGTGATCTAGAGCTGGTGTCACCCAGAGTTTTGTTTTTAGAGATGTGTAACAGAACCAGGCACAATGGATCCTCTTACATCAGGTCTTAGCTGAAAGAAAAAAGGACAAATAGGAGCAAAGAGGCAACAAGGCTAAATGAATACAGGAAGCATAGATAATAACTGGAGTTAACATTCTAGACAGCAGCTACTGATGTTGTTGAATGTGATGTGTTGTTTTTACTTGTATTGGTCTGTAATGCAGTAATAAAACGCTAAACTCAGTGATCACACTGCAATAATGTTTCCCATTACAAACCACCAAACATGCCTTTGTCTCCTGTGCAGCGTGAGCTACAATCACCTGATTTCAGTTCATGCAGAGGAAGAAAAAGGTGGAATCATCTTACAACCTTTGAGGAGTGAAGATATGGACATTTCTTTGTTTTTAATTATTGGATTATTTTGAGCAGTATCACTGTGGTTGTGACTGTGTGGAACTTTTAACCTCCTAGGACCTGGCGTCCACATATGTGGACATCACATTTTGGGTTATTTAGACCAAAGTACTCGATTTTGCTCTACAAGGGCCTGATATCCACTTACGAGGACATTATACTGCTACTGTTCTATCAACGTTTTAAACGAATATTCTCATATGTGTCTCTTATTTAAAAAAAAAAAAAAATAAGGTAAAAAAAAAAATCTGGTAATTCTTTGTTTTTGCATTCATCAGGCCCCAATATGCCCAAATATCAAAGAGACATTAAAAATGCATGGTGTGGAAGAGTTCAGGTCTTAGGAGGTAAAGGCCCCAAACTACCAAAACTGTCTCTGTGTGGTAGTAAATCATTTTATTTAATATGAATATAACTGTAGAACCAATTGGAAATGTTGACAAATGACCATGGACAAGTCAAATCTGTTAAATGTGAGGTGAGCAGTGAAAAATCATGTGACTGACATAAACTTGGGGGTGACGGCCTGGAAGGTAAAATGAGCTTTTTAATCTCTCTGAGACAAACTGTAAAGAACAAGAACAGATTCAGTGCGGTTCTTCGTGTGAGCACGTCTCTCTAAATCCTGTCACACAATCAGACGATGAGATAAGCTTTGATTACAAAAGTTACTGAGCTGTTGTGCTCGATCAGTCAACACCTTGCATCACTGCTGCACTGGAACGCTGACTCTGAAACAGCCCAACACACTGAATATTGTTCGGTGTCCACAAACATGTCCAGTTGGTGTCCAGTTGTTCTGCAAACATACACTGTGCAGGATCGGCAGCGTTTTAGAGTGATTTTTTTATTCTGTTTCCTGGGACTTAAGACCATGAATGAAACATTTAAGACAGAATGAGACACAGGGGTCAAATGTCACATTTTGCAGAGCCTCTGATCCTCCCACAGGCTACAGCAATGTAAAGGTTTTAAATTTGACTTTTTAAAAGCATTTATGATTTTACTTGAGTGTTTGGATTGTGGAGGAAAGCTGGAGTACTTGGAGGACTGCAGGTAGGTAGAGAGCAAACAATCTCTTCATAATAGGTGTTCAAACCAGTAACCACCTTACTGTGCAGCTGAGTTTAACAAGCACTATCATGAGGCAGTTATTCCTCTGCTGTCATGAGACTGCATCGTACCCCCAACAAAGAAACTGCATGAAAACAATAGCAAAGGAAAATCATCATCTCGATTCCTCTTGTTCTGTGTCAGTATACAAATCGCTTATCAGTACACTAAGCTAACGTTGTAACTAAAGAAATATAGTGATTATAATTGATGATGTAACCAGAAACCTCTCTGATTGACTCTGATGACCTTTAAAGTTATGGTGTAGAGTTTAGAGGGGTTTCCTGTTACACTATAAGTTATGGTGTGATTTAACATGTAGATTTCCAGCTGAGGCATCAAAGCTTAGTGTTTGTGTCCATTTCTGTAATGATACTGAATGACAAGATCTAGTTACTTTGTACAGATTCCGGTTTGAAAATGTCATTATGCACAACACAGGCGACTTTTTCAGCTTTTTTATTGAATGACTTTGAAGCTGAAATTGAGGCCCTGTGTCATTATGCTACTCTATAAAACATTTACTGCAACCCAGTAACCCAGGGGGCAGCTTTTCATTTTTCCCTTGTCAGTGTCCAGCAGTACTTCCAGATAGCAACTCCGTTCTATCCTCTTGTGGTGTTCATTCAGTTATATACCTTAATCTTAACTGTATCTCCTCCTCTAACTTCATATTTTCTCTCTCCTCCTCCTCCTTCTCCTTTCCCTCTCTCTGCTCTCTCCATGGCTGCCACCCTCAGATCGCCTGTCCCATCTTTGCTGGCCTTCTGCATTTCTTCTTCTTGGCTGCCTTCTCCTGGATGTGTCTGGAGGGTGTGCAGCTCTATCTCATGCTGGTGGAGGTCTTTGAGAGTGAGTACTCACACTGGTGGTGGGCATGTCTGCAGCCATAGACTACAGGAGCTATAGGACCAAGAAAGCGTACGTGTGAGTACAGGCCTTTTGCACCTGCAGATTGAGAAGTAGGATTGTGCTATTCCCCCAGATGGAAATGTAATGTCAACCTCTTTCCGGTTGAGTGAACGCTGGCGCGACTGGCGGCCGCTACTCACCGGCCGCCACTCACCACTATCGCTAACGTTAACGCTACTGGACTCTGGACTTTTGGACTTCTGTCCTACTCCTGTTTCTAAGGCCCACCGGTGTCCCTGCCTGGCTGTTCCTGTCCATGATGTGGCCTTTCAGGATCTATGTACTCTCAGTGTGGGTCTGGATCCTTATGTCATCGACCTACCGACTCGGCACTGGACTTCATCAATATACAACTGATGAGCTCCTCCGGCTCCGCTTCTCTTTAGCTGCTCCGCCGTTGGCTGCTCTTCATTTCCACACGGACATTGCCTTCCTCCCTCGCCGAAAGTACGTACATCGAGGCTCCCGTCGGTATTTCCATCAGGATAATTCCAAACCAATTCAGTCCTTCTGGTCCACCTCTGGTCGCTCTCAACGGAACCCCTGCAGGTCTATTGACCACAATGTTCTGACTGGTCTGCCTAGGTCGGCTAACACTCTCATCCAGTCCGACAGTATTCCTGTCAACTTCGGCCTGCTTAATATCCGTTCGCTTACGAACAAAGGACATCTCATCCAGGATCTCCTAACAGACCGTAAGTTTGACTTTTTCTGCTTGACTGAGACATGGCAACAGCCCAATGACTTTTCGCAACTCAACGACTCCACCCCCCGGGGTTTGTTTACACCTGCCAACCTCGCGAGTCCGGCCGTGGTGGTGGCCTCGCGATAATCTATCGCGAGAACTGGAAAGTCTCGCCGCTGTCCGCCCCTACGTACAGCTCCTTTGAATCTGTTGTTTGTCAACTTTCAGGACCTACCCCAACTGTAATAGCTGTCATCTACCGCCCCCCAAAATTTAATTCTGTTTTTATCAGTGACTTTGCCGATCTGCTGACCAATTTAGCTACTGTCTCCCCTAATATAATATTGCTGGGTGACTTTAACGTTCACGTGGATAATTGCGACCATCCTCTTACCAAGGACCTTCTATCCTGCCTTGACAGCTTCAGCCTTAAACAATACATAAACTTCCCTACCCACATTAAGGGCCACACTTTGGACTTAGTCTGCTGCTCTGGACTTACCCCCTCCATCTGTACAGCTGACGAACTGCCAATTTCGGACCATCTGCTTCTCTCCTTTAATGTTCACATGACCCTCTCTGTAATTAACAACCCCCGTATTATCTCTTTCCGGAATATCAAGAATATAAATCTTGATATCCTTTCCTCTGCTTTTTCTAGCTGCTTGTCTTCTAACAATTTAGCTATTCAAGAGGACCTGGTACTTTTTTATAATCATAGCCTTAGTAGTATTTTAAATTCCCTGGCTCCACAAAAAACCAGAACTGTACTTTTTTCTCGCTCTGCACCCTGGTACACCCCTGAACTCCGGCTACTGAAAGCTAAAGGCCGACAGCTTGAACGTCTCTATAAGAAAACTGGCCTTACTATTCATAAGGATATGTTTAATAACCACGTTCTGTTTTACCAGGAATGTATTAGTCAAACCACATCTGCTTATTACTCTGCTATTGTCTGCTCAAGTGAGAACTCTACCAAGACCCTTTTCTCACTATTCAATTCTTTTAACAGG